AGGGCAGCATCTGTTTGTTGAAATGCATCAATTGGTATTCATTCCATCAATTCCTTGGCTTTATTTTTGCCAAGGCCTTTGGGAGTGGCCTGAATTTCCTTCTTCATTACCATTGCTTCTTGACCTTGTTTCTTGACATTCTTTTGTGTCAGCCAATTCTTTTTGGTACAACGACTCAGTATACTCCTTCAATCTTCCATAGCCAAAAAGAACATTTCAAGATCTAACCTAAAATACAGTGCTGTAATAGATAGCCATACAAGGAAGACTTGTTAATACAACTATTTTTCAAATGTATACATTAGTCAAAACCAAAGATTAAGAAATTAAGGGTTTCTACCAAATTGATAGGATGCACAATAATGATGCACTGAGAATAATTGTTGGCTGTAATGGAAAAGTTAGAAACAAAAAAGGACTGGTAGTTGGAAAATATGGACTTGGTTACAGAAATGAGACTGGAGATCAAGTGACAGAATTTTGTATAATCAATGACTTAATTGTAAATAATCTTGTGTGGGTCTTTTTGAAAGATGACTATACAACGACTATACACATGGATCTCACCTGATGGACCGCCCAAGAATGAGATTAAGTCCATTGTGGAAAGTGTCCATGGAGAAGCTCAGTATCAGCAGTCAAAAGAAGGGCAGAGGATGGCTAAAAGAAACAATCACTTACTCCTGTGCAAATTCAAACAGAAACTGAAGAACATAAGTCCACGAGAACCAAAATAAGACCTTGGGTCTATTCCATCTTAACATAAAAGCTATTTTAAGAATAGATTTGTTGCACTGAATATGAATGATTCACTAAAAACAGAGAGCAAAGGCAGCTCCCCTCTGATTAGGGGTGAGGGGATGCTAAGTACAGAGAAATAATCCCCAGGATTGGAATGCATGTGTCTCGATGTGGGCCGGCCTCTGCACAGTGAAGTTCCTTGATGCTGGCAAAGGCCAGGACACAAGGCCAGTGAAACTACAGATGCTGAAGACAATGACACCTTTCCTCTATCATTGACAAACAGCCGGCTTCTTCTGAAGCCGATGTCCTGAAGTTGGACTTCTGGTCTCCTATGAGACACTGAGAAAGGTAAAGGCTCAGAGAAAGAGGACAGCCTTCAACAAGATGAACTGACAGTCACTACAACAATGGGCTTGAGTATGTCAGATGATAAGAATATCATAGGATGGGGCAGGGTCCCTGTGTTATCAGATGACTTGACAGTGCCTCCCACCACCACCACCACCACCCACAGACTCTGATGCCCCTTATTTAACTGTCTCTTAGATAATGGGTTCATGACCACCCATGTGAACTTTCTGCGATGATGACCCTGGCCCTACTGCCAGTTGTCATGTATGCTGATTCTATTACATATGGAGGAACTGGAAACATGGCAGGTGGGTCTATGAGCCCAATGAGACACTCTGATGTACCACCTGATCCCCATAAACCCTCACCTTCCTAGAGGTCAGAGACTCACGTCCCAGGGGAGCAGGCCTCGAACACCAGTACAATGGTGCACACACATGTGCACCCACACACACACTCACACATATGCACACACAGCCCTCCCCTCCCTACGTCCACACCTGAGGTACAGACCCCCTACTACTCAGAAGTCCCTCAGGCCCCCCACCCCTAGGACACAGCCTAAAGACAGGACTCTCCACCTCAATGCTTCGAGCAGTTTCTGGACTCAAGTCACATGATTCACACTCATCAAGGAACCATCTGGAGAATGGTTTTGCACCCACAGGGACCATCAGCAGCAACTTCCAAAAGGCCCTGCCTCCCCTTCTGATCTTCTCTGCCCAATTGATATGCACCCAAACGCTGGTTCCAAAAAATACTTTATTTATTAAACAATATATCCATGATCTAGAACATGATCCAAAAATACAGATATTACATCTTTACATTATTTAATAAAAAGATTTACAATTTTCTCTTTCATTTACAAAGGGAATATAGATAATAATCCCTGGAAAATAAAATATGACATTCATGTTAAAGCTGCATTGGCTTTTTTGGATGAAATGTGTAAAGCTGACACCACCAGATACTCGCAAGCAAACGGCTAGCTCACTTGGGTTAGGACATTTTCCCTGGGCCACTCCCCTCAACTGTCAACACTGGTCACAGGGACCACATCTCTGCAACAAAGACTCAGCAGCAGCCCCATGCCCACGACACCTTGGCCTGTCACCCACCACCCCACAGGCTCCTGAGCCTCTGCTCAAGGGGCTACAAGGACAGTTGCTGCTGAAGGGGGCCGGGCCTGGGGGCAGAGGGGGTCTAGAGGCTGAGGGCAGAGGGGGTCTGGGAGCTGAGGGCTGAGGGGGCCTAGAGGCTGAGGGTAGAGGGAGCCTGGGGGCAGAGGGGGCCTGGGGGCAGAGGGGGCTTGGGGACAGAGGGGAGGTGCTTGGGAGGCCTGAGGGGGTAGTTGGGGGCTGAGGGGGGGTGCCTGGGAGGCCAGAGGGGGGGGTCTAGGTGAGTGGGGTGCTTGGGGGGTACCTAGGGGCAGAAAAGGTCTAGGGGGCTGGGGGCAGAGGAAGGCCTGAGGGCAGAGGGAGTCTTGAGGACAAAGGGGGCCCTTGGGGTTGTGAAGGCAGAAGGAACTGAGGGGTGTCTAGGGGCCAAGGGACACCTGAGGGAAAGTTTTCAAGGGGGCCTAGGACAGAGGGAGGCAAGGACAGAAAGGACCAGGGTGCCAAGGGTTATCTGGCAACATGGGTTCCAAGGGCAATGTGGCCTTCTAGGGATAGGTGGTAATCCCACCCAGAAAGCCTGTTATCAGGTAAAGCGAGACCACGGTACCGGCTGCTGCTCAGCACCCTCCTCCCGTCCGAGCCCCACATGAGTGGATGGATCAGGGGACAATTACACTGAGGTTCCCATATCCCACCACACCCCTAGCAGAGGCTCCACAGGCACAGATGTGGCCCTGTGGCTCCCTCTGACTGCAGAGGACAGCCCATGTCCCCCCACAGACCTATTCTCAGACCACTGGCTCCCACAGCCAGGAGCAGGGGGGGTCACATCTCAGGAACAACATTCCTTCCTTTCGAGTGATCCAGACACAAGACTGCAATGCCTGGGGCTCAGAAAAACAAGCACTGTGAATTGGCCCAGGTGAGCCCCAACATTCCCCTCATCTCCCAGCACCCAGACTAGACACTAAGTGGGCACTGACGAGACAGAGGCCACCTCAACTTCCCAGAGCTAAAGAGCCAGGCACCCAAAAAGCCCCAAAGGAACTCGTCCCGCAGAACCAGGTCCTTTCTACAACGCCTCTCCAAAGCCCCGTCCATACCCCTCAACAGAGTTAACACTGAAAGGCATGCAGTCACGTGCTAAGAATGTTCTGGAAAATTTCTCTACTCTGCTTGGGTTTTCTGTTTTTCTCCAGAATTAGATGCATATAGTTTTGGTGACGTAATTTTAACTGACAAACACTAGAAACGTGACCACAGAACCATGAAAGTCAGCACATGAAGCTACAATAGACACTGTGTCTAAGGAGGCCAGTGTCACAGCCATCTAACCTCGTGGACATGGTTTTACAGTGGAAACACTGGTGTGACCTGCACAGACATTAAGCACAAAGCACAGATGAGCTGCTCAGGAGTGACCAGCCTTGTCACAGAGCACCGTCCTGACGCACCCCTCCACCGAGCAGGACTGGGATGAAGAGGTGCACCCATGAGCATGGGTACCAGCAGGCCAGCTAACCATGGCACAGTATCTCCTACCCTCACTTCCTGGGTAGATCTCGGGGGTCTCTTTTGGGTTGGGGGGGGCCTGGATGAGCTACAGCAGGTGCCGACCGCCACCCTGAACCACACGGAACCTGCTGGCTCCCAAGCCGTCCATTTCCTTGGTCACCTGAACACAAGCCCTGCTCTGCTGTTCCTGGAGGTCAGGGGTCCCAGGGGCTGCCCTATTGTGGAGCGGGTCAGAACCCTTCACCTCACTGCTGACATGACGGCTGCTCCAAACCCATTCCCATCCACCAAGCACTCGTTCACCCTGAACCCCACCCTAACCTGGCCTGACTAGCCCTCAGAGGGGATCTGCCTGGACACGGCCCCCTAGCCCCAAGGCAGGAGGTCCGGAGCACGGCCCCACAAGCCCCATCCCCATGAAGCCCCTTGGCAAAGCATCAAAAGAACTGCTAGAGGCTAAGCCCTGTGCTTCCTCCACAGAAAATCATATACTCTTCCAAAGTGGGGCTTTCATCTCAACCCCACAGCACCCTCTGCTGGAAAGGACAGGAGCTATCGCTCCACTGACACACGCTGGGGTCCCAGAAGCCAGCAAGCCCTGGTCGTGCTCCAAAACCAACAACTCCTCTGCTGGTGGACAGCCTGACCAGCCCTTCCTAGAGAATCTCCCACGTGTGCGATGGCAGCCATCAAAGCAGGGCTGCCCCCCTAACTCCTGCCATCATGTGAGTACTCCGATCTCTTCAACGAGGCCACTGGTGGACTCCAGGGTACAGCAGAGAGACCAAGTGGGGTTTACACGCACACCAGAGGGGCCAGCTCTTCACAGGATACAGCATGTCCCTTCTTCACAGTAAAAACACAGGGCTCCAGAGCCCGGGTGGACAGGCCCAGAAGGCCCTGGCTGTGCAGAGAAACATCCTCAGTCCAACGGCCAAATAAGAGAAGCAGGGCTGCTCCTTTAGTCAGTGGTCCTTGTGGAGGGGTGGTAGGCAGGCAGGGCGTGTGAAACGTGTCCCAACCTGCACACAGACCCAGGTGTCCCATCTGTGGTCACCACGTGTGGCTGCATGCCATACAGTCATTAGAGTGAAATCAGAGGATGTCCCAGGGCCCCCTGGCCACTGGCTCCCAGGACGCAAGAACAACCACTGGCCACTGAGCTATCAGATGCCAATCAAGACAGGTAGTTTTCAGATGAAGGTAAAATTTTGTGACACAGATGGAGGACAAAATCCACTCCCTTCCAAACTCAGGCTGCAGCTCTTCCTACTTCTTCTTCCTCTTTTCCTGGACACATCGTGGGCAGAACCTACAGAGAAACACAGGCACTCGGTCCAACCCTTCTAAGGCACAGCCACCCACCAGCCCACGCCCACCGCACATGTCCCACAGCCACGCCCAGCCTGCCCACGCCCACCCCACGTGTCCCACGGTCACAGCCAGCCTGCCCACGCCCACCCCACGTGTCCCACGGCCATAGCCAGCCTGCCTATCTATACTCACCACACCCTAAGCACCGTCCCCTATCCCACCCCACAGCACATACCCCCACACTGGTCTCCACTCCACACTGTCCCGTACCCCTAGCACTTCCCTTCCAACCTCACACCTTGTCCCACCCCCCAACCAGCACCACATCTTGCACCTCCAACACCTGTTCCGCCTCACACTCCTTGTCCCCTGCCACTGGCACCTGCCTGTCCTTCGTCCTCCCAGAATGCCAATCTGCTCCTGCTCCGCGTCCTTCAAGATGACAACAACCCTCAGATCAGACCACCCCCCACACCCAAGGATCCTGTGCTGGGGACAGCTGAGAACAAGGGTCCTGAGAGGTCACATGGGAAGGCACTGTACTGAGGAATAGACGTGGCAGGTCCTGGCCCTCACACCACCGCCCACCACCCCTCATCTCTGGAGCAGAAGCTGCTGGTTTGCACAGCCTCCAGCGCACAGGAGAAAGACCAAGCACTCAAACTTACCATTTTCCTTTCGGCTTCGTAGTGAGGTCCACACACGCGAAGTGGAACCACTCGATGGGGCACTGCAGGTTAAGGAGCACAAAGGAGACCGTCACTCCCCAGGTCCAGAAGAACGTCCACCACCCAGGACTGGAGAGTGTCCACCACCCAGGTCCAGAGGGGACGTCCACCACCCAGGAGGGGAAAGCATCCACCACCCAGAACTGGAGAGCGTCCCCCACCTAGGACTGGAGAGCGGACATCTACCACCCAGGACTGGAGGGCACCCACCAACTAGGTACAGAAAGGGGGCATCCACCACTCCAGGAACAAAGTGGGCAGAGGTGACCACTTTGTCAGCGATGTGTATTCCACAGACATTCACTACCCCAGGACTGCACCCTGTCTGGACATCCCCAACACTCACATCAGGGTTGTCACAGCCAATCATCTCCCCGTAGGACACCTGGTGACACAGGCAATATGTGGGCTCGTTGGGGTCCACAGGCATGTCCAGTACATCTGAGGGGTGCACTGACAGGATGGTGTCTGCAAACTCAGACCTGTGGGCAGACATGGGGCTGTGGTGACCACAGTGACAGGACTGTGTTTGCACCAGCACGTCCTAGCTCTACAGGAGATGCCATCTTGGCTCTGGCCTCACAAAGTTGGAGCTCAGTCCCCTGGCCAGGAACCACCATTCCAGGGCCCAGCTCTGATCACATCTCAGGCACTGTCCACCTAGACCATGACCCTCTGCCCACGGGGCTTCTCCTCCAGGGACACGCAGTCATAAAAGGAGGCCAGCAGCAAACTGCCCATCAGAACATGACTGCCTGGCCAGAGGCACATGGGGAAATGCTGCTGCCCATCAGGACAGCGGGTGTGGAGAGTGCAATGCTGGAAGGCGGACAGGCCACAGTGCCAGGATGGCCACACCAGATGAGACAGGCTCTCACCGGGTGATCTCATCCGCTACAATAACTGTGAACTGATAAAGAAGGCTGCTGCAAGGAGCACAGGCGGAGCACGAGCCCCCGCGCAGCTGACTCTGCCCTCTTCAGAAAGTACACATGCTCACTGCACCTACAGAGCCACAGAAGCTCCGAAAAAGGCCCAGGAGACATGATCCAGGAGCCCTCGGGCCTGACTCTGCTCCTCACCACAGTCAAGGGTGACCATCCCCACGTCCCCTCCTCAAACCCCCAGCCTCACATCCATCACCATGATCAGAGTGACCATCCCCACGTCGCCTCCTCAAACCCCCAGCCTCACATCCGTCACCATGATCAGAGTGAACATCCCCACGTCCCCTCCTCACACCCCCAGCCTCACATCCGTCACCGTGGTCAGGGGTGACCGTCCCCATGCCCCCTCTTCATACCCCTAGTTTCACATCCGTCACCATAGTCAGAGGTGACCATCCCCACGTCCCCTCCTCACATATCCTGTCTTGCACATTTCCACTGTCACATGTGTATGCACATGATAAACTGAGAAAGTGCAACCTCTTTGTTTCTCAACAACTCACTCAGAACAGTAGACCCTCCAGTGGGTTTCTGAGGTTGTAAATCACATGGGAGGAGGTTGCCCACCTTTCTCACAAGGAGCTGCTGGTGGATTTGAACCACCAAAGGCATGGCCTTTAGCAGAGGTTGGCAGTGCAGCCCTTCCTCTCATGGCTCGCTCTCTGGCCTGTCCAGAGCACCTCCCCAGGGGCCATGCACGGCATCCTGTTTCTCTTGAATCTACAGGGCCCTCTGGTGGAGCAAGGTTACAAGACCTCGTCAGACTGAGGCTGAGGACATGCGCGTCACCTGCTTCCAGGTGAGCACAGCCTCCAGTCTGTGAAGGGCCAACAGGAAGCATAGCTCATGCCTACTGCAGGGAGTGCATTCACCTTCCTGTACGGAAGTGCCAATCAGTGGGGTCCTTACCCTCCTTTGTGTTTCTTCTTCTTTGGTGTGTCCTCTTCAGATGTCCTTCTGCCTCGGCCCCGGGAGCCCCTTTTCTCCTTCTGGCCCCGACCTTCTAGAAAACAGGAGCAATCCAAAGAGTTTTGGTGTTGATGAAGCAGAACGAGCACCCAGGCATGCTCCCACACCCCCAGCACCCTGTACACCCTCCTTGGCCCACTGTCTACAGCAAACAGCAGTAAAGAACAAACTTGCTTTTTAACCCTCGTCCTCCAGAACTCTCCAAGTCACTGCCCTCCATCTTGTCCTTGAGGTCAGCCTCAAAGCGTGCCAGGTCTGCGTCCAGCCTTCGGATGTGCTTGTCCACCTGCAAGGCAGAGCAGGCCCACACCCTTCAGAGAAGCAATCATGGCTCAAACCCTCAGGTGCAACACAACAGGCCTGGGACACATAGCCAGCACTGCTTCTGATATCCAGACAGCCAAGTCACACAGATCCAGATTCTTGGGGCGCCCAGAGATGGGCCAGGGGACAAGGTCACAGCTGGATGGGTCCCAGCTGAAGGAGTACAGGGTTTTGGTTTGAGAGGGTGAGCAAATTTGGAAATAAGCCACTGAGAAAATGGTGGTGACGTGTTCAACTGCGTCCCCTTCCCTACCTTACCCACCCCACCACCTCCTAGATCAGTGTGGCCAGCTGCCCCTTGCCACTGCTGTACGTCCCCTTCCTCCCTCCTGTAAGCTCACCATCTCGTAGGTCTGCATGGCCAGCTGCACCTTGTCATCACTGTACTCCTTGCACTTGCTGTAAGCGCTCTGGATCTTCTGCAGGTGCTCCACACGCTGGTCTGGGGAGAGGGTCTTCACTGTGGAGATGTACTCAGCAGCAAGAATGTCGATCTCTGCCTTCTTATCTGGGAGGAGGGACAGAGCCGTGAGGACAGCCCACTACAGGTCACAGTGGGACCAGCACAGAGCGTGACACAGAAGTGAACACTGAACATGCAGACACAAACCTACAGGCCTGGACGGTGGGACCTGCA